CAGCTCCTGGTTTCTTGCGAATTGAGGACGGTTGCGCTATATTGGCTTTATAAGCAGTGGCGAACTTTTCCGAGAAGTGGACCCGAACCTGTTGTTTGGACGCCTGTTGTATAAGCGCTGGACCAGTTCATGTATCTTGTGAAAGGGTATGCGCCTTTTCTTAATCCTCAGCAGTGCGTGCTTCTTATGTTGTCGATGCACTAATCTTGGAATCCACAGAGTTGCTCGTGTATGAGTCATGCACAGGTGAAAATGAGGAAATTTCTGTAAGTATTAATGATGTAGTTTGTGACTTTCCCGATGATGACTCCATTGTATGCGTCAGAGGATAAGTTGTTTCTATGGGTAGTGATGTTTCTTGTGTCGTCTCCCTGGTGGTTGTTGTGATAGTCATAGGTACCGACGTGGAGGGTCTACGCCTTCGCACGAGTCGGTATAGAGCTGTTGTTACTACTGTGAAGTTGCAGACGAAGAGGGCTATTCCAGCCTAGGAAGCGGAAAAGTAATTAATAAGCTGTAAGATTTTTGTCATGAGGTCGTTGAAAGGAGATACAAACATTTATGTGACCCATCCCAACGTGGAAAAGATACTGCGTAACATTATCTTTGGACATCCCCAATTTAATGAGGATAAGATAAATAATGGCTGATAACAGCGTCAAAACGTTCCCGCAGAAAGCAAGTAAGATAAGTCGTCTTTCTTTTGGTGGGAGGCGGATATTCCAGAACCAGAACATAGGGAACAATACCAGAAGGGTGTCGCTGATTATGTCGCCTTGTATTTGCAATTACCGATATCGAGTTAGAATACCCATGTCAATCAATAGGGTTTCAAAGGACCCAACGCACCTGCAAACAGGAAGACGTCTTCCAAAGGAACCCCAGCGATACCTCTAATGCAGTCTTCCGCTACCAATAAAATCGTCTTCCGCTGGCAGGTGGTAGCCGAAACGAGGATGCCGGCGAGTAGAAACGATGCCATTATCACGACGAGGAACATGGAGCATGTTCTTGGGCGAGAGCGTTTGGGGAATAGACGTGCCAGGGACAGTGCGAGTACGATCCTTGTCGACCTGATAAACCGTGTTTAACTGTATGCACTGAGAATGGACCACATATGATATACCAGATGATGATAATAAACATGAAGTGCGTGAACCAATACGAGTTTAATACGACGCGTGCATAGGAGACTTTCTTTTCGGGATCTAGGAGGCGAGTCGCGTCAATAATTTGCCCTTCAATGCAGCGCTCATTAATTTAAAGAACAGACCGCGCTCTTGTGGGGGATGGTGATCCAAAGTGAAGTCGCGAAGAAGATATTCAACACCAAGGGGAGGAAGAGGACGTAGTCGTCCCACCACGCTCGGTGGAGACCGAAGCGCTCCCACAAGCGGTACGCGCTCGAAGACACCGCAATGACATGGAGGAGAGAACAGGCAACTGCAAAAAGAGGAAAGAAAGTCCTATATCAGCAGGGGTTGAGTTGGGACTTGACGGCCAGGGGAAATGGGATGGAATGGTGAGTGGACAGACCTTTCCACGGGAGAGATGCGTCGGAGGGTATATTACTAGCGAACACGGCCGTTTCAGAGGCTGCCAGTCGACGATACATCGAAGGTGCTGGATGATCGATGGAGCTTTGAAGCTTTGAAGTCGGATACTAGCTGTCTTTACTGATACAGGGTATTTCCATGGCGCACATTTCAATTATGACCCAGAACTTAGGTTTATGTATACCACAAATTTAAATTACCGCCGATTCCGAAAACCGACTCTAACAGTCTAACTTGAAACAAGGTTCTTGGCCGAGGTGCCGCTGATGGTAATTTAGAAGATCTAGGCTGCATCCCCAGGCCCTCGGACCCTCCTCTTCCAAATCTTGAATGGCAAAAATTATTAGCCGTTGTCATTCTTGTGTCATTCTAATAAGAAATGTACGCTCAGTTGATTGGGGTAAGTACGAACGACTAATATTCAATAAGTACCTGTAAGAAATGTACCCAACGATACGTCGTAAAGTTTAAACTAAAAAGGTACGAGAACATCAAGTAAAATAGATCACTTCATGAGTTATTTGGTGTACAAACGACTGAAGTGTTCGAGAAATATTTACGTCGTATATCTGAGATAATAGTGAATTATAAGATAAGGGAAACCGAGGTAGAAATAATCTTGAAGAGAACGTATAATTCTGTCGGCTTGATTAAACGATGAGATCCGAGGATGACATGTTGCAAAAGCTGGGACGCCAGTAGGCGCCATTCCTCAAGTTTTCTTCATTTGTTCTTATATTTATGTTGAATGCAAAATTTCCAGCTTTGAATTGGGGCATTGCTCTGAACGATGTTGAACCCAGCCAACGTTGTCAATGTCACCTGGAGTAACTCCAGCTAACACGAGCAAACAGAAAATTCGGGACTTGGCAGCGACGTCGGAACGCGAACCTCACTTCACTCTCCTCCCTTACCATGCCACCAAGATCAGAGACAATCCCAGGGGGAATTGTGCGCCTCAGCAAGCTGCTATCCCACCTAAACGCGCCTCCCAAACTCGTCCTGCCGGCTGTGAAGCGTCTGCGCCTTTCTCTCGCAGCCAAGGGCGACCACTTCGGTGCCCAGTGAGTCCTCGGCCTTCGTTCCATGTTTCAAAGAGCCGACCGTTGATGAATAACTTCCTCGGTATTGCTCTTGTGCTCTGGTCCGTTTTGCTATTGACAGGGATTTCGTGAAGAATCATCTGCCACGAATACGTTATGCGAATCCCAACCTGGATATCGAAGTGCAGAAGGTACCGAAAGCACCAGACGAGAGATGGAGACCGGAAATGGAGGTTGAACTCGGTGCGTTGACGAAGCCCTATTTTCACCGTTGTCTCGCTCTCATACTCTATATCCTCCCTTCCTTCTCTTTCGCCTCTCCCGCTCTCTTTCAATCTCACACCACACCACCCTTCTCATAACTCGTGGACCGCGTATACAGTCGACGGCAAAGTGGAAAAGCTCGATATGAACGAAAAGTGGTCGACCTCAATAACGAAGGAGCTAATGAACCTGACAGGCGGTGAAGAATGGCAGAGGCATGTCTTTTCCAGCAAGAACGCGGGCCTGCCGATACTCCCTGGCGAGGACGTACACGAAATTGAAGAACGCAAACTGAAGGCGAAACCCTCGAAGACAGGGGAAAAATTGCCAACATTAGCGGAATACCTGAAGGCCCATCCAGAGAAGGCAAAGAAGGACGCAGCGAACCAGCAGAAAGCCGACCAACGGAAGGAGAAGAAAAATAATGCTAAAGCCGATGCTTCACCTTCAACACCTTCAAACGCGTCGGCTTCGCCATCCGCAACTACTAGTTAGACTACATTACACTGGACGAGATACTCCAAAATTATCATTTATCGGTAAATATACAAATTAATGCAGGAGAGTATGGTGTCACAGAAAAAGTGAGATGTTGCTCGTCTATGTCTGCGCTATCCAACCCGAGAAATAGATGATGAACCCGATGCCCACCACAAGACCCGACAAATCATCGAGAAATTGGGAACCCATTTGCATGTATTTCATAGTGTAAACGATGAGGGAGGGTAGTGGCGGTGGCAGGTGTGGTAGAGCAAGCGCCAAGAGCGTTGGAGGTTGAATAGAGTCCTATGATGGGGAGAAATAAGCATTAAAACATATTAACTGCTGTCACATTACTCACGAAACCAGAAAATATACGCAATGAGTGCAATACAATTTCAAGAGTGGTAAATGCCCAGAAGAACGGCTGTATAAGGATGGTCAACGCGAGGCTCCACACATTCAGACCATCGTAGTTCGCATACGCACCACAACATGAATCTTGAACGTCTCCATCGAAGTCGCCAGCAGAGGACTCCGCTGACCCAGACTTGCCCATCGCTTCCAGAGTCCCATCGTATTCCACGAAATATCCTCTCCGGTTATTTCGCGATGCACATTGGGTTCACCCCACAGCACGAAATACGCAAGCAGACACCACATCGCGATGAGATGCAATAAAGGCAGCATCTTCTGCAACTTGGTCTTCTCCTTCGGCGGCTCCATCATGCCCGGAAATTTAGCGCCCATCCCTTCCATCCCTGGCCCGAAAGGCGGGAACATGCCACCCCCAGCGCCTCCAGGAGCCTGCCCTCCCATCAGCGCAGCGAACGGGTTATCAATGGCGCCTATTGACATGTCCTGAGCAACACCCGAATCCGCGTCGGATGGTAATTGCGGAAACGCGCCGCCTGGCCCACTCGAGGCGTTCATCAGAGCCTGCATGAACTGCTGCTGCTGCTCGGAGCTCCATACAGACGGATCCGGGGTGTTGGCCGCGAGGCCCTCGAACACGTTGGCGTTCCGTGGCGCGCTCGTGGCCGTCGTGCGCGCAGGTTGCGGACTCGGCGACGGGGACAGACTGGCGCGGCTCCTCAGCGAGCTCGAGGGCATATCACTGCTCTCTTCCCCTAAAAAATTGCGGGTGCTCGTCGTTGGCAGATTTGGGACCGGGGGATCTACATACGAATTTTCGATGAAAAGATGCGAGTGTCGAAGAACAGTAAGTGCATACCATCATGGAGATACGGCCCCTCGTGTCCACGCGCCGACGTGGTGAGTTTTGCAAGTCTGTCGCCTCCGCGCGAAAGGATTGCTTTTCTGCGAGCTTCTGCTCGCGCTGCCGCTGACATGGTGGAAGAATGAGATCAAGGACGAATTTCTAGAGGTTTAAGACGTGGCAGAGGCACCAGGTGGTGATTTCATACATGATCATGTTTGGCTGACCAAGACAAAGTAAATATGTACCGCCGAAAGTGGATGTGTCAATATTACAAGGCACACACGAGTGACACGACGCACGTTGCTATAAATTGTAAGATTTATTAACTAGAACTTGAGTCTTGAATAGATGCCAAACTTCAAAGACTCAATCGATTATCGAACGTATTATGTCCAGATATTTCTGCAAAATAAAAACGGTTCAACTTCTTTGGCAAGGCGCTACCAGGGATCGAACCTGGGTTTCGAGAACATCTGTAAACATCAGAATCTCGAGTGATAACCACTACACTATAGCGCCTTGCGCCGCTCTTCAGTATCAATTTTTTCTACACGGATACCGACTATTTTGACAAACGTTCCCTGGCACCCAAAGAGCCCTCCAAAACGAAGGAGTCTTTGCGGTAAACTCTCGGGAAAAATCTTATCTTACATACCTTAATCTTCGCTGTTCTTTAAAGGGTGTCCGATAACGATGAACCTTAAAAGATATATAGTTCCATGAAAATACAATAAGCGTAGACAAGCGTAGACATCGCTCAGAAGATTATTTAGCGAATGCACTGGCATGCCAGTGCCTCAGAATTTTAAAAAAATACGAACGGTGCTTTTATTATGTGCCAAGGGCCAAGCAGCAGCAAGCAGCGCTAGCTGATTTGGAGTCAAACTTGTAGCTTGCGCACAATTACATAACTAGGTAGGCGTTAGCACATTGAGCTTGATACCCATATAGCAGCGTCTTTTGTGTCCAGTCAGACTACATTTAAAGTCACTTTAGAGCCGAATGCAATGACCGGGATTATTTACTACTACTTGTTCAACTCCAAAAAAACAAACATTTGCATTCCTTTTGCTCGGCGAAATCCATAGTACATCATAATTTCAAGTCGATCGATAAAGAAGTCAAATAAAAGCGACGGTAGTACTATTACTACAAATATACCATCTAGGAAACGTCGAATGATACAGATTGAACGTAGTAATATTGATGAAGGCGAAATGACTATGTTCCTAACAGATATGCCAGCAAATGCATTGGTCAATGAAATGTGTTCAAGGTCGATAAATATGTTTCAACTCGTGGACATGATGGAAAGGGGTGAGATGCATAATAAACAGTGATGATGATGATGATGATGATGGAGGAGGTAATAACGATAACGATGCGAATGAGTGATAGCAAGATGCGAATAATGAGGGATAGCGAGACAACGAAGGTGCTACAAAAAATTAAGGGATTAGCTTCAGTTAGAAGGAGTGGCATGATGGAATACGGACATGGTGGTGTGATGATGATCATGACGGATTGAGGCCGCGTACATGGACTCCTTTGAGGATTGGGTTCCTCAAGCAATGATGCAGTAGGCATTGCCACTGTTACTCTGCTTCTCCTCGTCATTTGGAACGGAGGCAGAGTCGATGGCAGCGATGAAGTCGGCAAAAGAGTCCATAATTTCTGATTGCTGAAATTAGCGGTGGACAGACGAACTTCGAAAGGATGACTGTAGAGCTGGGTGGCCAAACTACTGGCGCTCTCGAAAAACAGTAAACCTTTTATACACCCCAATAACGTGCTTCGATATGTAGATGAGATGCGCTAGACAATAGCCAGACCCTGTAATTGTTCACAGTAGAGTACGTCGGCAGAACCTGGGCTTCGGAGCGGACATGTAGTAGAAATTTGAGGTGCCCCGACAATAGACTTCATGGGGTAATGTCCTCATTAGAAGTTTGAACACCGAGGACTGAGGGTGAATCCCAGTCACCGACTATACTTAGACGAGATTCGCAAGCAAAGGACACACGGAACACAGAACGATATCCAGCGCACACGTTGGGGAACGCACAACAAAAGACGGATAGGTACCGGCAGAGAACTCGATTGTTCCGTTGGTTGTCGGCAAGATAATAGAAGGGGTTCGAGTAACGGTCCTAAGGTTCCGAAACCCTTGAATAGAGAAGAGCGTAATAAATGGCTCGACGCATTGTGGATGTTGAATTCCACCAAGCGCGCTCAGTCTGAGAGTCCATAATCATGGATCTTTATCCCTGGCCATAGTCATAGTGTAAGAAAACGTGGGTGAAAGTAGACAAAACTGTCAAGTTTTAGGACCCCACATTGAAATGGGCATGAGAACAATAATGACATGTGGCTCCGTACCTCGCGATGTTCTCCGTCTTCACTGCTATAGCTTAGTGACTCAGGAGACGAGTATTATCTGGAATCCGATAAGTGAATTCCCATAAAAGACTCGTCATATTGACATAAGGAGGAAGTCGTTGAACAACAGCGGCCAATGTCATTCTGATGTGTCATGCAATGGGTGCAAATATGTACCCAGCTAACGGCGCCATAATCACTCGTACCAGCATTTGCGTTTGTGGTTTAGAACACGAGCATGGCAATTGGGAAAATATGGGTCGGTTCTGCCACCACCCCACCAAAAATTCACCAGATCACTGATAGTTCCAGTAGAAAAGATTTTTGAAGTTTCCTCCCATGATCGGTTCAACGGGTTTTAGGATAGAAAGGAGCCGTGGAGAGACAAGCTTGGAGAGGGACGAGTGAAGGAATGAAAGCTGGTAAGCAACTGGTAAGAGCAAGGTGAAATCTCGACTTCTGGAAAGGTGGATGAGAGAGCTGACAAATGATGGCCCCAACGTGTGCAAACAGGATTCGTGCGCCCCGGTCGCCAATGTCGAGTCTCGACTTGCCACCGACCTCATTCTCTTCCTCTCCACCCCCCAACATTTCCAGCACTGGCTACCACAACTACTACCATGGCGCAGCCAGCGGTGGAGGAGGGCAAGCTTCTGAGCGAGGCTATCAATACCGTCAAAATACAGGTCCAACAGATGAAGCGGCACCTCGTACGCCATATTTCCTGTTTGTGTATCATATGATTCCCTATTCACAGTTATCATAGGAATTGGACCAACTTATGGACGCTCTGAAGAGTGCAAGCTTGATGCTTGCTGAGTTGCGGACCTCGTCTCTGTCGCCCAAACAATATTATGAATTATGTGAGTTGCTGCTGCGGTCCAATGTCACGGCGTCTGAACAGTCTGATGCAGATATGGCGGTATTCGACGCTTTACGATATTTATCGAATTACTTATACGAGGCACATACCCAATCGCGACACCATCTGGCAGACCTCTATGAGCTGGTGCAATACGCAGGCAATATCATCCCCCGGCTATACCTGATGATTACTGTTGGCTCTGTATACATGTCGATTCCTGACGCGCCGGTGAAGGAAATTATGAAGGACATGATGGAAATGTCGCGTGGTGTACTGCATCCTATCCGTGGACTGTTCCTCCGACACTATTTGAGCGGGCAGACGAGAGACCACCTTCCAGTTGGTTTAGAACCGGGGTATGGTTCTCTTGGTTCATAATTCTATCTCTGCGTTATCTGAATACGTTACTTTTAGTCCTGCAGGAAACCTCCAAGATTCCATAACATTCGTCCTCACCAACTTCATTGAGATGAACAAACTTTGGGTACGGCTCCAACATCAAGGGCATTCGAGGGACCGCGAAAAGCGTGAAATGGAACGACGCGAACTCCGTATCCTTGTAGGGACCAATCTTGTTAGATTGAGTCAGTTGGATGGCGTGGACTTGGACATGTACCAGAAAACTATCTTGCCAAGTATTCTGGAGCAAGTAGTTAACTGCAAGGATGTAATAGCCCAGGAATACCTCATGGAGGTCGTCATTCAGGTGTGTCCTCCTGGAATCTGGATGGATTGTATACTTAACCTGTCTCCTAGGTCTTTACTGATGAATTCCATTTGCACACTCTCGGTCCTTTCTTATCTGCCACCGCCCAATTACATCCCAAAGTTAACATTAAACAAATCGTAATCGCATTAATCGACCGTCTCGCCTCGTATGCAGCAAGAGAAGCAGAAAGCGAGGACCCAGAGGAAACGAAGCGTCAAGAAGAAGCCGCAGCGCGTCGCCTTGCTGAGAAAGTGAAGACACAGAAAGCTAAAGCACGCGAGCAAGGCGCATACCGCGCAGCATCCCCGACGTCGCCCTCTTTGGAAACGCCCTCCTGGGGTGAACCGCCCACGCCGACGACTGCGACAGATGAATTCGATGCAACCTCTGCCACAGAGCCGCCGCCCAGCGATGCTTCTGATGATAAAGTGCCTACTACAGGCAAGGAGGAAACGCCCGTGCGTAAATTCCGAGGCGTTCCTGAAGATGTACAACTCTTCGAAGTCTTCTGGAAACAGGTCGTTGAGCTCATCAAGGCAAGTGGGTCTTCTCTGTATCAGCACGCTTATTAACCTATTGCATTTCCTTAGGCTCGTCCTGATCTCTCTATCCAAGACATCACGGCACTATTCGTATCATTAACCAACTTGTCATTAAGCTGCTATCCTGACCGCCTGGAGTATGTCGACCAGGTGCTCGGCTTTGCTGCGGAAAAGATCAAAGAATACTCTGATAGGTATGCATACCTTATCTTTTCCAACTATTCATCACTAACTTACATATTAGTCCGGATCTACATGCCCAACAAACCACTTCAAATCTCGCTTCCTTACTCGTTGCCCCGATAAACTCTTACCAATCCGTCCTCACACTCCTTGCTATCCCCAACTACGTTCCCTTACTAACGAAACAACTTTTCACCACACGGCGCTCGATTGCCCACTCAATCGTCTCCTCCGTCCTCAAGAATGAAACTATCATCGAGGCACCCGAGGACGTCGATGGTGTCCTGGAATTGTGTCATGTTCTGATTAAGGATCAGACAGACTCTGGTGCACCCCCCTTGCCTAATGGCCAACAAGCAAATATCAGGGAAGTGCGGAGACAAGGGCCTTACTTTATGGAAAGAGAAGAGATGGCGGAAGAGCAAGGTTGGGTGGCGCGGATGGTACATCTGTTCCGCTCAGAGTCTTTGGACACTCAATTCGAAGTGAGTCGATTATTGACATTACCCTTCCACTCGAATAATGATATTCACATAATTTATCAGCTCCTCCAAATCGCTCGCCGGCACTTCGATCTCGGCGGAGAAAGAATGCGGTTCACGTTCCCTGCGCTAATCACCTCCTCTATCAAGTTATGCCGGCGCTACAAGAACCGTGAACATGTTGTATGTGTTTATTCATTTACGCAAACTCCTTCACTGCTCACGTTCGAAACTAGGAACCTGACTGGGAAACCAAAGTATCGACGATCCTCAAATTTGTTCGGCAGTTGACCTCGATCCTAGCCACAACTGTGGAGGCGCCGACTATTGCTCTACGACTCTTCCTTCTCTCTGCGCAA